TGAGTTTAATAGGGTGTCAACGACCACATCTGCATACGATATTTGGCACACACTCGAGGTAACTTATGAAGATACAAATAAGGTTAAAGAATCTAAAATTTCTGTTCTTGTACACCGATTCAAATTATTTAAGATGAAGGAAAACGAGACAATTGGAGAAATGTTCACAAGATTCACCGATATCACAAATTCTCTCATTGGTCTTGGAAAAACATACACTCAAGTGGAGATGGTAAGAAAAATACTCCGATCACTCACTCCACAATGGGAAAAGAATGTTACCGTAATCGAAGAAACAAATAATTTGTCAATTCTTACGGTTGAGAATCTTATCGAAAACCTCATGGCTTATGAAGTTCAAATTGAAGATAGAAAGAATAATGATGAAACAAAGAACAAGAAAGTGCTTGCATTTAATACTACTTCTGATAAAGAAGATTCGGATGATGATGAAGAAATGAGCATGTTTGTACACAAATTTCAAAAATTCATAAAACAAGGTAAGTACAAATCAAAAAGTTCAAATTCAAACAACTTACTTTGTTTCAAGTGTAACAAACCAAGACATATGAAGAAAGATTGTCCATTGTTGAAGAGTAAACAAAAATCAAATTACTTCAACAACTTCAACAATATTTAAAACAACAAGAAAAGGAAGGCTTTGGCAGTTACATGAGATGAAAGTGATGATTCTTCTTCTTCCGATGAAGAAAGTGAAGAAAAGGAAAGTGCTCATATGTGCTTTATGTCACAAGATGAAGTAAGTGATAATGAAGAGCTTTTAGATGCTTTTAATGAATTATATGAAACATTTTTGAGATTAAATCCTTCACATAATTTTCTTAAAGGTGAAAATAAAAGATTACTTGAAGAAGTTTCTGATTTTAATTCTTCCACTTCTATTAATTCTCAAATAATTGAATTAAAAGAGGAAAATAAATTATTACCTCCTCATTGAATATCACATCCCGGCTCCTGATGATCTTCCTGTTCTTCTCATCCCACAGACGATACCCGAACTTATCAACACCATATCCAATGAATGTATATTTTTGTGACTTAGCTTCTAGCTTGTCCCTGACATGATCACTGATATGATCATATGCCACGCAGCCAAATACTCGCAAGTGTGAGTGATTTATCTTCTTGCCACTCCAAACCTCCTCTGGAATCCCAAAATCTAATAGAACTGATGGCCCGTGATTAATCAGGTAGGCTGCCGTATGCACCACATCCACCCAAAATGTCTTAGGCAGACCTGCATGTAATCGCATGCTCCGCGCACGCTCAGTCAAGGTCCTGTTCATTCTCTCCGCAATGTCGTTCTGTTGCGGTGTCCTTGAGTGGTTCTCTCTAAACGAATCCCATTTATAGCACAGAACCTCTTGAACTCCTCCAGCTCGTATTCTCCACCATTATCTGATCTCAAGCACTTCACCTTCAGATCTGTCTCGTTCTCGACCATGGCCTTTCACTTCTTGAAGATTTCGAACACCTCTGACTTGTGCTTCATGAAGTAAACCCACACCTTCCTCGAGTGATCGTCGATAAAGGTGACGTAGTATTATGAACCGCCAAAAGAAGACACACTGGCTGGGTCCCATACATCTGTATGAATCAACTCTAGTTTCTGAGCCTTAGGTGACCTTCCACCCTTCTGAAAACTAGCCTGCTTCTGCTTCCCAAAGATGCAGTCTTCACAAACTCTGACTTCAACGGCGTCGATCCCGGTTAGCTTTCCTTGTAAATGTAGGATTTTCATCCCCTTCTCGCTCATGTGTCCCAGCCTATTGTGCCACAGATCTGTACTCTCCTTGCCAACTGCAATTGCGAGGGTGTCACTCGCATGTGAAGTGAGGTAGAGAGTTCCCGTTTTATTGCCACGAGCAACAACCATCGTACCGTTGGAGATTTTCCACGAATCCCCGGTAAATGTCGAAACATAGCCTTCTGCTCTAAGCTGTCCTACCGAAACAAGATTCCTCTTCAGCTTCGGTACGTGTCCCACGTTCTTCAAGTTCCACTTAGAGCCCTTTATCTGTATCTGAACGCCGCCATTTCTAACAATATTACAAGGCTCATTGTTCCCCAAATATACTTTACCAAAGTCCCCTGCTACATAGTTCTGAAGTAGTTTCCTATTAACAGTGGCGTGGAAAGAAGCTCCTGAGTCGATGACCTAAGAATCAGAATCGCTATCCATAGCAAGGATCAAGGCATCCTGCACGATATGAGCCTCCTGCTCACCTGCATCCTTCTTTGGTGCTTTACAGACCGAAGACATATGGCCCTCCTGGCCGCAGTTCCAACACTTCCCTTTGATGGTTCTAACCTTTGAGTTTGACCTCTTCTTTACTGATTTCGACCGATTCCTGTTCTGGTTCCCTTTCTTCTGGTTTCTGCCTCTCTGCTCGAAACTTAGGGCTGAACCTGAACCTTCTGATTCGGACGATTTTCTTCTAACCTCCTCGGATAGAATCATGCTGACAACCTCACTCAACTTCAACTTCTCTTTCCCCGCCGAATTGCTGATTGTCGTCACACAACCCGCCCAACTATCCGGCAACTGCGATAGTAGTAGAAGGGCCTGCACTTCGTCATCGAACATGATGTTCACGGAGATAAGTTGATCAACAATTGTGTTGAACTCGCTGAGGTTCATCGTGAAGGACCGTCCTTCAGCCATCTTGAGGTTGAAGAGAGTTTTGACTAGATGCACATTATTTGCTGCTGACGGTTACTCGAACATCTTCGCGAGCGCTTCCATAAGCCCCACCGTCGTCTTCTCCTTCAGAATATTATGGGCTGCTGATTTGGCGAGCGACATTCGGATTTGCCCTAGAGTCTTTCTATCTAGTACCTCCCAATCACCATCTGACTCCTCTTTCTTCTGCCCCTTTTCCTTGCCCATCAGCGGGCGATACAAGTCATTTTGGTACAGATAGTCCTCCATCTGCGACTTCCAGTAGGCGAAGTCTGAACCGTCAAACTTCTTGATCTTTGATTTGTTTTCCTCTGCCATGGCTTTCACATAAATTGCTGAACGAAGCTCTGATACCAGTTGTTGGGGATTCGAAACAATCAATCGAATCCTTACCCTTCTGGACCTTGTGTTGAAAGTAGGAATAATACCACAAATAAAGATCTAACCTTGCAAAAATAGTAAAGGAGACGAACACAAAGATTTAACGAGGTTCGGCAACGTGCCTACGTCCTCGGGAGCCACACCACACAATCTCTTTTATTAATTGAAGAAGAATACAAGCTCTCAAACTAGGGTTTTATCTCTCTGAGATTCTTTCTTTTTTGCAGTCAAAAAGCTCTCTTTTTCGTGTCTTTCAAACCCTAAAAACGTTTGGGTATTTATAACAAACCCCAGCCAAACAAGATTCCTAAACAGGATAGGAAACAGGGAAACAGCGTCGCGGTCGACCGTCGTACCAAGGTCGGTCGACCGGCCAGAGAGAAAAATCCATTACAGTGTCCTGTGCACATTTGCGGTCGACCGCAGCGGCCACGCCGGTCGACCGACCAGAGTGAAAACTTCTTCTCAGTCTCCTGCAGTGCACGCGGTCGACCGGATCTGCCACTGCGGTCGACCGCACAGTCTTCTGACTGTTTTCTTCGTCTTTTCGATTGTAGCTTCGGGTCTACACACTTAGACTAACATTTTTTTCTCATGGACAATTGTATGTAGCCTTATCACCCGCTAAAACGGCTGATAGCATTAAAATGCTTATGAAACCTACGACCACAGAATCTAACAAAGATTATACAAAAGATATTGTCCATCAAGAAATACTACCTTTATCAAGAAATGAATAGCGCAAGTTTTCACTCTACAAAAATCTCACACGAAAGAAAATATATGTAGGCCTTGCGTTTGCAACTTCTTGTTGATGTTACTCGAGCTACTTAATGGTATTTGCTTATACTTTGTGATTTCCTATTAAGCTAATATTGTCTTGCTATTGAAATAGACCTCATTTGTGCACTTCTTTTTTCAGGAGTCCTTCACAATACAGCTCAGGAGTCAGGACCCTAACTGTAATGCTACTATCTTCAAGACCAATGCCAAAAAACACTTTTCTTTATCAACGGGATGCAACTCATGTACAGTACAATGAATCTCAAACTATTGACACAAATTTATGTCTTTTTAAATTAGTTATCAATTAAGTTTTTCACTTCTCATGCATTTTATTTATTACCATGTTAGGCAGAGTTATGTATGAAATAAGAGCGTGAATATTACCAAACTTTATATATTTTACGAATCCAGTCGAAGTAAATTAGCGATAGGGGTGCGTATGCTCTTCCAAGTTGCACTTGCTGGAAGTATAAACAATAACTTTTAAAAAATTGCATGCATTGAAAACCATACGTAGTATTCATAGCCAACTGTTAAAAAAAACTATATAGTAATTATTTTTAAAGAAGTATACAGTAATTGGCAACTGACACTCAGTTTACTCTACAATAATATATATAGCAATTACTTTTTATTTATAGCCGACTATCATACAAAAATATATGTTTAAGAAAACTGAGCAGAAGACTAAGGGAGAAAAAGAATGTGCATGGGTTCCTTACATTGTCTTCTACGGAAAAATAATTCTGGGTTCAAACAGTTATTAAAATAATTACTCAGTCCCACAAATCTCAAGATCAATATATGACAACCCCTCTTGTTGCTATATGCTTGTCGCTATATTTTTGTTTCTCTCTTTTATAATCACCCTAAATTTCCTCTTAAAATTCTATTGTATTTCTTTTTTCCAGGTTAAAGCCAATCATTTTGATGTTATGGAATAATCTCCTCGCCAGTGAAGGAGCAACTATAGTGGAGATGATAAAAACATGGCCTCTTATTCTTGGAAAGCGGCTGGAAGTCACTTCTTTCATCAACGAATATTACCATGTTTTATATTCTTACACCATATGATATACACAATGACACCAATGACACATGCATAAATAATTTATTGCAGGGATGTCTCTATTGACCAAATCCTCAAGCACTTTCCTCATTAACCCAGTTATTCCGCAAACAACAACATCAAGGAGCTGGTATTATTCGTACACTTTGATTATTGCACATTTCAATCATTTACTTAAACCAGCGGACTTCACACTTCCCATGCTGCAAGAAAATACAGAGATTATAGAAGAAGAACCGCGAACAAATCTTACACCCTATAAGAAGCGCCAACATCATTACACCATAAATATTATCACCATCGACAAAATCCCGCAAGCTCCCATTGAGGTAGTAGACAATCTGCATTCAGTTATGTTCACAACCACCAATAACAATATTCCCTTTCTTGTGCAAGCCTAATTCTTTTCATCTTCTCCTTCGTGTTCAAAGTAAGGCCGAAATTTATGGTTACATGCTTCTGCTTCCATTTCAGACTTTCAGCAGATACTGCATGAATTGCAATACTGAGAATGCTATAGCAAAACCAAGGTAACAAATGCTTCAACCCATAAACGTGAAAAATTATTTCGTACATAAAACTTGCTTGCTCAAATCATTAAACCTAATAAGAACTTGAATAAAAAAAATTGCCAAAATTTTTCAACTGTTTTACCATATGCACGTTTCCATATCTACAGAAAACCCCAAAATGGGACCTGTTACTGTTTCTTGAAGATTATAGACAAACTTATGCCTTTGAGTTGGAAGTGGGAATATATCAACGCTCATATAAAATTAGTCCATATGATTTGAGTATAGGGAGAGAGATTTTCTCAAGAAGTTCAGTCCGAAAACTTTTTATTAGGTACATGTAATCCATAACTACAAGCATGGATGCAAATCTACACTTCCTTTGACATAAGTAGTGACCAATTACTGGAATAAGCTTCCTGTAACTATTTCTTCAATATATTCTCACAAGTTACAATGTCTCAAGTAGTGACCAATTTCTTGGAGGTTTGTCATTACTATTAAAACAAGCAGATCTTAATTTTCACACTTACTTTGAATAAAATGAAGTATCAGTTAGCAATCTTTGTCCCTTCTTGATTCTGAATAATCAATAAAAACATTACATGTATAAACTTTAGCAACAATGCAGTCCAACTGAAAGATATATACACTAAATTGCATATAATTTAAACAATCTTGCCAAAAGGCTCAGAATTTTTAGAAACTTCAAATTGAGAGAAAAGTACTTTAAAAAATAGGTACATCACCAAATAGAACCCTCAAATTGAGGGAAACGTTGATGTGAAACAATGTGTATGCAGGTATGAAGAACAACGATAACAATGTTTCACCAAATCAGCGATCGATCTAGGCATGAAACTTGAGAAGAAAGTGAAGCTCTAGATGGTTTTAAACAAAATTTCAATGTACTAAGTTTACGGCCTTGTAAATTATTCAGAAAAATAAATGTAATGATTCGTCCTCGTAATAAAGTTCGACTTGTAATATTTAGATCAGCAAATATACGCGGCAACAGAATCATTCGCTCACTAATCAAGCAGAATCCAGCACAATCGCAATTGATATTAAAATTGATAATAACATGCACGCAATAGCAGTTCCTAAAATACTGGGTCGAATGAAAACGAAACATTCGTAGGTTTGAACCGGTTCTACGTGAGGGACCTCTGGAGGTGGTGCGACGTCGCCGAATATGAGGGGAAGGAGTTCTCCGAGCGCTACGTAACTGAGATGAAGTGGCGTGTCTAGGTGGAAGCACCTGTGCCACGAACTGATTCCCAAACGGCTCTCCACGCTATCAGAGTCACACGATCAACGTAATCTGCGGGAATGTCGAATGACTGATAATCAAACCATTGAGAAAGCTGCAAATCGATCACACCGGTTTCTGGGTCGTACACGAACTGGACGTCTTCGGTTGCTGGATAGCGGAATCAAGGTTCGAATCGGACTTGAATCAGACTCAAATCGGACTCCAAACGGTTCTGAAACAGACTTGAATCAGGTATAAGATATTAATGGGTTTGTTGCGAATGTGGGTCAGATCTGAATTGAAAATCAGATCCAACTGAACCAGGGCGGGTCTAATCAAAGAGAACCAGATCCGAAGGGCCTCTTCAGTGTGATCTTCAATCTGAGGGGAAGAGAGGGCGAGCGAAGTCTGAGGATGACGAAGGGCGGTGGCAGTCGAACTGAACAGTGATGTGAGCGACGGCTAGGGTTTCAGGGGAGGGGGCTCTGATGGAGATGAAGGCAAGAGCTTTGGCGGCTGTTCAAAGGGAAGGCGAACAGGGGTTCGACGGCTGGGGAGGAGAAGAGTTTGGGGCTGTTCACGGCGCTCGTGGAGGAGAAGGAGCAGGGGAGAGGGGGAAAATCGTGAGCAGCTGCTGGAGGAGGAGAAGGCAGTCGGGGGGTTTGGCTGCGCCTTTGGAGGAGGAGAGCGGGATTTGGCGCTGGCTAGAGGAAGGATAAGGGACAGGGGGAGCGGGCTAGGGTTTCACACCCACGTTTCACACCCACGTTTCACACGTTCAAGCACACAGGTAATTGCAAATATTTTTCAAAATCTTCATTGCCTCATTCTCATTATGGTCATGCTTAAAAAGAAAAAAAATACAGATTTGGGATTCCTCAAATCACTCAAACAAATTCTAAAATCCCTAAAATCACTCAAATGCCAAAAACTGACTAACTACCAAATCAAACCACAATTGAAATTCAAATCTAAACTAAATAAAACTGAATTAACTACTAAACTGAAAATCAAAACCACATAGTAGGGATCCGATGCAAAGCTAAAACACGACGTCTCCTGCCCTAATAAACATGTCGAAAATCTCGTGCACGTGCCTGGATGTCCGCATCAAACATACTTTAAAAAACAGCATACATCACCAACTATAGAAACCATCTCCAGGACTAAAAATATTCAGAACAAAACTTAAATCTCTTAACTCTCAAGAAAAGAAAATAAGCAAGAACATCGTATCCTTGTTTTTCGGACTTAGCAACATCTTTACCAGTTCCTAAAACTTAGCATAAAAATCCAAAACAGATAACGCAGAATAATAGTTTCAATTCTTTTAGTAGTAAAAGAATACATAATTGTCTAAATTTTATTATAGTACCCGTTGGATTTGACTTGATAATTCCATAGACGATGTCTCCAGCAAAACTAGATCCTATTCTTTATAGCATCTTAAATCATCAGAGGCTTAACTAAATTTGGCTCAAAAGTGTAGACTACCCCTGTACTATTGCTGTTTCAACTTCCTCCCCCTGTATTTTCATTTTGGCTAATAGACATTGGCTGAATTTTGCATTAAGTTCACCCAGTGACAATAGCTACCAAAATTTCGCTAAGAATAAAAAAGTCAAAACATCAAGTCAAGTACCATTCACATATCTTCAGAAAAATCAAGGTACCCCAAATATAAGCGATCAAACATCAAGTCAAGTATCATTCACATATCTTCTAAAGATATCTAATGCATCAAACTATGTTTTTCTTACAATTCGTTCATATTATTTTCTTCACAACTTTTGTTATTCCAAATGAACTGCAATTTCTTACTTATCAAATACTCCTTTATTTTTCATATGGCATATTTATCAGTGTTTTAAATATCGGCCGCCATGTCCGACATGGCGGCCGATATTGCGGATTCGGAGCCTAGCCGCCACGAAATTGTTGAATTTAATGCGTATGGCGTTTTTGAGGTCATGTCGGGGACATGTCGGAAAATAGCGGATATATCGGGCGATATTTCGGCCATCAAATATCGGCCAAAATTCAGAAATATCGGTTTCACATTGATATGTTGAAATCATATGATTTGCAATATCTTTCACCTTCTATTTATGTAAAGTTTCACATTGTTTCCCATCCACTACCCATATGGGTGCTTGTTGTAGGTTTTAATTACTTGTTATTGCATGTGTTTTCTTTATAATGGAAGGCTATAAGAACACATGAATTTATTTGTATTAGGTGCACATATACTTCGGTTTACTAGTTTCTTGTTTGGAGAAATGAAAGATATATAATAAAAATCCTGCAATTGTTAGTCGATGCAGTTAAGTAGTTTAGAATAGCAATTACGAGTTTAATTTTTAATTTCAGTAGAATTTTCTTTTTGTTCCTACTAGTATAATACACGCGCTTTGTATGTGAACATTTTTTTTGTAATCTTTTTCTTTGAGTGTAAAATTATGAAGTGACTTTTATAATAACATAAATTCTTAAATTGAACAATTAATAAATCTTTACATTAATAAATAAAGTTGTGTATAAAGAATTGTATTAGTAATTTTTATATTCTGGATAATTATTATACTTTAATAAGAATTGTCTAAACATATGCAATTAAGCTGTTCTAGTGTCTATTTGGTTTTCTATGCAAAAGCAAAAACTTGGTGGTTGCTTGTGAAAATGAAGACCTTCTCATATGTACTTTTTTATATGTTTAGACAATATAATTATCAAGTATGTGAAGATTCCATTTATGATATTATATCAACCCATCCGATATGGCAATCCGATATTTTTTTCATGTCCCCCGATATATCCCCGATTTCCGCTATCCGACATGAATTTTGGCCGAGCGACATGAACCCGACATCCGATATTTAAAACCTTGATATTTATCATAAAATATTTTATCTTCTAATAGGAAGGAAAGGTGGATACAACATTTCTCAACTAGTTTGAAGGACGATACGAGACCATGCACTACTACATGGCTACTGTTGTCCTAGATGAGCCAAAAAACATGTATATATCTCTCTTAGATGAAATTTTTAGTAGTGTATTAGGAAATTTTTGGTAGTGTATTAAACTCTCAGTGATCCATATTTTCAAATACGGATCTTGTTTATTAGAGGGCTCTAGCAACAGCCACAAAAAGTGTTTATTTTGATATACTGTAATCTCTGTAAATATACTGTATGTCAATCTGCCCTATGTATATAGAACTCGCAGTTATATGGCCGCAACAGCAGCAAATTCTATCTTTGTAAATATACTGTATGTCAATCAGCTCCATGTAATATAGACCTCGCGCAGTTAATATCTCCTTTATCTTTGTAAATATACTGTATGTCGATCTTCACTGCTAGGAGTTTTCCCCCCCTTCCTTTCAGATAGTGATTCTATGACTGTGAAGTAGGAGACCTGCTTTTCAATGCAAGTGTAAATAAATCATTTTGCCTGTTCTAGACATTTGAATATACAAATCCACACATACTGCAGTCTCCCAAATCATTGAAATTGTTACCGAAATTATTACTTGGCAAGTGTATAAAGCTGAAGAATACACTAACAAAACTAAAGCCAGCACATGCATTGCACGTGCCCAGCTCACTAGTTCTCCTAAATATCCGACGACTGTTAGGAGTATCAGACATAATTATTATGCTTATGTCATGCATGCTAACACTACCCAGGTGGTTCAATCAGAATTTTTGCCAAGAAATTCCGCATAAAAGAAAATTTAAATATTTGGACAATATTATCATGAAATGCAGAAGCACATCACAAGATCATTGGGTAAATTTATAGATGCTCTAGAGATCAGTTTTCTGTTCGATTTACACATATTTCATCACCGGCATCCAAGCCATTTCCAGCCAAATGAAGTGCGGTCATGTCAATAAAATCCTCATATGATATGAGTTCTAATATACAGACACGTAAACTAAATGCACAAAGAATGTATAGACGGGCGTTGATGATTCAAGAACAAGCACATTTTTCTCTACAAGCTTTATACTCAAAATAAAGTGAACAGATTCTCAAGTCCCTCTCTAATATTAGGTCCTACTGAATATTATTAGAAAAGGTTAGCTTGGTCTAGAAATAAGATAAGTCATTCTGTAGTAGACATACATATTTTCCTTAGAAGTCCTTATAACCTAATAATGCAACTCAAACCCAATTCTTGTGAATATCACCTAACTATCCCCTCAACTAGAACCTCTCAATACACCTTCTCTACCTTACTTCCATTCAAATTATGAAAGGATAGTCTATTCTAGTTTGAAACATCTGCAATTGAACTGCTATTATTACTAAAGTTAATAAAATCGCTTATTTCTAGAGAAGAAAAAAAATCATGATGGCCTAATGTTCCAGATCTTTCAAGCAAGGAACAAAGGTAGAGCAACGCAAATGCCAAGAAAATACCTGAGACCATGTTAGCCTATCAACCTGAGACTAGCAGAGTTGAAGTGGTTGATTGCTGAAGATTAAGTAATACCCAATTGGATCAACTAGAATACACTGCAAGGAGATGAATAATTCTTACAACAAGAACACAAATTAACAATACAGATGCAATTAAGTTTAGCTTCTTGTCCCATCTATGTAAGCCTACATGTATTCTCCCAGCATACGACAAATAAAACGAAGAATGGAATAAGATCCCATGTAAGAGGTTAAGATAATGACCATTTAGTTTGTCTCCCTCACTCACGCAGAACATAAGACTAGTTAATAAATTGCAAGTTAAGCTCCAAAAAGAGAAACAGTTTGGTCATCAGTAAACAATACCTCAATTGCATAGACACGCAAAGAATCGTCATTTTCCACACCCATCCACATAAATTTCCTGAAGCTGTGGAACCTTGTGTTTATGAGGAATAATGAATTTGTCCATAAACCCCTTTTCTGAATAAGACATGATAGAAGCCAGCATAGGCTCTCTGTCAAGCAATCCTCTCGACCTCAAAATCTTCACAACTTCATACCGTGGAATCAACCTCTTCTCCAAGCTGTACATCAGCAGCAAAGGACGCTGAGCAACATAAACCGGCTCGCACTCAGCTTCCTTCAACAAGAACTCCATCTTTTTAGACAGCGTTCTATGGGAGATGTCCAAGATGCTCGGAGCTTTGGAGGATGCAGAGATGAAGTCAGCCTCCGACCACCCAAACTTCTTCATGATCTCAAGACTGCCATTCAGTTTGATCTTGCTTACGCTGCTCAGGGTCAGGAGAGCCCATACAAACATCCCCGAGCCCCGGGCAATACCCATCTCGTTCTCGACGCGGCTCGCAGGGCTCGCAGCTTCAGCCAGGGCTTGTGGCCTTCGGGTGACGAACCTCGGGCTCCTCCTCGCCACCATTCTGATCCTCTCGTCAGAGACTCCACAGCTTCGAAGGAAGGCGACATTGGGCTTGACAGCCTTCTCGACGCTGTCGGCGATGAAGCTGTTGCTTCGCTTTAAGTTCTTGATGAGCTGCTCCCTAGAGCCGAGCAAGCTCTGCCAGAACTGGATCTTCGGGAGGATTTTGCGGTTGAAATCGAGGCACAACACCCTGCAATTCGAACTGATAAGGTCGGTGAGGTCAGAGCCGGAGAAGCCTATCTCGTTCAAAGCCCGGAACTTTGGAGCTAGGGTTTTGTCGAGGTTGATGGCGAGGCATTTTGGGTAGCCAGACACGATCTTGTTGATTTGGGCGTCGCTGAAACCGTGGGTTTTCATGAAGGCGATGAAGGATTGGGGCTTGTCGAGGGATTTGAGGGAGGAGATGTACTTGGAGGCTCTCGTTGCTTTTTCCAGAGAGAAGCCGAGTTCTTCGACGAGGTAATCAACAATAAAATGATGGCTACTGAGGGGAGGCCGTGCTGGGCTTGTAGTGGCGGCGACGGAGGAGGTGGAGGAGGAGAGGCGGAGGAGTTGCAGAGCTCGGAAGTGGGGGCCACGGCGGCAGCAGGAGGAGGAAAAAGAAGGGAGATTGA